TCTTGAAATTCTTATAAAAAGAGTAGATTTTCTAAAACAGTAAGGAGGTTATTTTAAGAAAAAACAACCGCATCACTTAGACTTTTCACACTTTCACTTCGTTCGATAATCAATGACGTGAAAAGTATTTATTATCATTGGGTTTGGTTTTTTGGGGAGATTTAATCGGGTGTCTACAATAATCAATGTTAGAATACAAGTTTTTAGCTACAGTAAGAGTAGTTAAGGAGGAAGTTTGGATCAAATTGTCCGGTGACTAAAGGACACTTTTTCCTAAACAATGGAGCAAGGGTCACATCACAAACCCAAACAAATAGATTTGAGATATCACCTCATTTAGGATATCAATGACTTGCGGGATGTCATAATGTGCAAAGTTTTATTATAAGTGAGAGAATCGCTTATTTACTTTTTAAACCCCTTCCACATACTACAGTATGAGAGTCATATTAAAGTCTTGGATTGTAGCAAGTTATGTAATTCAAGATGTGTATGTTTTGAGAAATCATATTACATAAGGAATCCATATATTTGCAAAATTATGTTTATAAACAGAAAATTTATTTCTCTAATTTAATTATGGTTTTGGAGATTAAATAAAATGTCCAAAATATTAAGAATTGATGGGCTCATCAGGTTGATGACTGGGTGAATGAAACCCCACAGGTCAACAAAATTCATACATTATTTAAGTTCCTAGTTCAAAATAATTAAAGTGGACATAAATAATTTCAATCAAAAGACTAGCATGTAAGAATGATTGGATAGCGCATTTTCAGGGGCTATAGGGGCATAATGATGCTCGGTCAATCACTTGGATATGCATGCATGATGCATGATATAACTATTGACCTACTTTGAAGTTAAAGTATAGAGCATCCGAATATATTAGTGGATTCCTTTGACATGAGTGGAACATTTATTCTATTGAATGATTAATTTAACTATGGTAAATTCAAACGTCTACCCGTAACTGTAGATTATAATGGATGTTTCCTGGTTACTTCAAAAGTTTAGTGGGAACTTTGTTGCCACAAGATTGGATTAAGTCTACCTATTTAATTAGGGAATGTGTCATGGCAACTTGAAGAAAGAGAATTCAAAAAATGAAAGGAATTGTGTCCTTGTGTATTATTCTAATAGGGGGTTCGGAATTATTAGAAAACTAATATTTAAGTGAGGTCAAGTGATCAGAATGCCTGGGTGGAGGCCGCTTCCGATCAGTAACATTAATGCATAATTAATATTACAGCTTAATCTTGACTGAACCCTTCGGGTCACACCCACGCAACTAACGAGCCAAAGAGACGAATTAATTAGTAATTAATTAATAAGTCGACTGAGTAATTAATATTTAGATGTCAGAAATTCGATCTTGGAGCATCGAAACCGAGTGTTGGAAGTCAAGTCAAAAATAGTAAAAGACGAGACGTGAAAATAATAATAAATTAACAAGACCAAAATACCTCTAGAATCGGAATACCAAATGCTAGAGGCGCGGCAAATGCTAGCAGCCCGCACCAAGTGCGGGGATTGGCTAACATACCACATCTAGTAGCCAGTACTAGTGTGCGTGGTTGTGCTAGCATACAACATTTATCAGCCCGCATATTTGGTGTGTGGCTTTCTAGGCCGAGGCACCAGCAGCCCACACTTTTGGTGCGTGGTGTACTAGGCCGAGGCACACCAACAGCACCGTGGCAGCCCACAAGGGTTCCATGGTGACCAAGTGAGCTGCCATGTGGCACAAATTAATTAGAGGGCTTAGGGGTTGAGGTGGTCGATTATGGGAGTGAGAGTGGGGGGAAAGTTTGGTTATTAATTTTATGAGCTTCCCATTTGTTGATTTATTACTAGTTTGATTATTAATTTTATTTTAGCTTTAAAATAAAATGGGATAATCAAATTCTCCCACATTGATGGGAGAGCTTTTCATACTCTTCCATTTCCCTATAAATACCCAACTTGGGGTATTGGGAAAAGCACTTGAGTAAGAGATGATAAAGGAATCACCATTAAGTAAACCCTTAAACTCATTAATTACTCGGGTTTAGGTTAGGCCTTGCTAACTCAATGGCATTGGACCCTTGTTGGTGTTCGAGTTGTTGGTGGACTTCTGTTGGAGGTTGTCGTACTTTCGAGACTTGCTTTCTAAATAAGAGCCCCTTGAGGTCGGGAGAAGTACGCGTCAAAGTTATAACTACTATCTTAATCATGTCATTAAGTTAATTGTGTTTTATGGTTTAATTTATTGCGAGTGAGGTCTTGTTTTTGGGTTTGTTTCCGCAGTGAGTCAAACTCACCAAACCCCAACAGAAAATACATGGTTGCGTTCAAATTCATTACTCAATAATCATTTGGTTTTTTAATTCAAACTCAGATTATAAGAAACAATTTGTAGATTAATACGATGTCGACATGTAATGTAATCATAATATCAAATCAACACACATTTACTTAAGAAATTTGAATATTGCACACTTGTCTTAGACAAGTGGGAAATTGAAGGATCTATGTTTTCGTCATCTGTAATTACTAGATAGATAAATGGATCAAATTATGGAGATAATTAAGTCCATTCATTTGGGTCGTCGTTATATCATAGCTAGAGCTACGTACTAATGATCTTTGGGCTATTAAAATAGGCCAAAGTCCAGTTGGACGGATTCTATAAGGTCTCACAAAGGGCCTAGATAGAGCACGAAAGGAAGAGGCCCATGATGGGCCTCATCTCTAGCATGGCCGGCCGTATGGAGAAATAAGGAGGTTTTTGGGCTCCGTGAGTTAGTGATGAATCATATTTATATAGGGTTCTTGGGCACGTTTATGTTAGTTTTTATACCTTTTCCTTAGTCTTTTTGGTCGATTTTAGGGTCATATTTGCATAAGTCATCATATATCGCTCTATTACGCTCCGTTTTGTGTATTTCTTAATATTCCAGGTGATTTTGTAGTCATTTGGAGATGATTCGAATGATCTTTGAATGGAAATGGATGGATCAAGTTCATTGACCAAGGAACTTATGCTTGTGGATGTTGTACCTAAGGATTATATGCATGGGAATTGAAAATAGCATCCACGAGGATCGATATGCACTTTAAGGAATTGAATTTGAGTTAGAAACAAAGGAAAACGAAGGCTTGCAAAGTATCAAAAAGGACCTTTGTGCATTGTTTCATCCCTATCTCGAGTTCTAAAGATCGGATTGAGATGATTCAAGTTGGGTTGGAATTTAGACTTGAAAAGCTTTCCAATGATAGATTGAAAGCCTTTATGCAATTCTTAGATTATGAGTTATAGCCTTCCAAAATTAGTCCTACAAATCTGCCAGCAAGCGCCTAGCCATCGGGCGATGGTTTAGCCGCACACACGACCCTTCGGATCTTCCTAGCATGATGGAAATCAATCGGCCGATGATCGTTGTCGCAGCCCTTGATCACTCGACCATCGGCCATCCATCAGGCAATGAGGTCTGCCGTGCGGGAACTTTTGCTTTCCGTGGATTGTAATTCTCTCGACCAATTAAAAGACGACCTTTGTTATTTTTATTTCCTTATTTTTTTTATCTGTTTTATTTTAAATAGGATTAGGCTTTAATATAAATACTTTAGAGGATTTTATTTTCCTCTTTGGATGCTTTATATTTCTAAATTAAGCACTTCTTAGTTTTTTTCTCTCCATTGTTGAACCTTAGCTTTTCATTCTCCATTAATTATGTCATTGAGGTATTTTCATTCAATCTTTCGTTCTTTATTTATTTTATTAATTATGAATTCATGTTTATTTATCACTTTTGTTTTGTTTATTTCAATTATGAGTGAGTAGTCGTTTTCTAGGGTTAAGTGGGGGAAGCCATGTTTATACCATGATTATTTGTGCTTAATTATTTATAAATTTATGAATTAGGGTTTGAATAATTCCAATTAATTTGTGCTTTATTGTTTGATTCATGTAATTGGCCAATATCATGAGTTAATTATTTAGCTAATAAAAATAAGGATTGAAAGATCATATTTTTAGAGGCTTAATTACAATTGGCGAATTTGATTATTTTAGCGACAAAACTACATATGTTAATTCGTAATTGTTAATTCCCGACCGTAGGATTAACAAGTGCTTCAATTATTCGACCTAGTTTGTTTATTAATGGATTGTTTGCATTTCTTGGTTTGGTATAAGCATGGTGGACCGAACGTATGCCCTATACTTTAATTTATCTGTTAACAACCTTATTTTCATTATTGTCATTCTTTAGTTAATTAATCATCAAATCACTCTTCGTTTATTGAAATAGTTTATAATAAATTGGCAAAAACTAATATAATTTGTCTCCCTGTGGGATTTAACCCGTATTTGCTAAGTGTATGCTAACATCAGACACCGTCCACTTACGGTATAACTTTTTATTCATCAATTTTTGGCGTCGTTGCCGGGGAGATGGCTAGATTCTATTTGTTTTAGTTTGATTGTTTGAACTGTTTCCATTGTCCCATTGGAACTTCTAGTTTCAATTGGGACATTCTCATTGCTTTCTTTTCTTTTTATTTATGCCCAGGTCAAAATGAACATGGATTTGATCCCTACGGATCCAAACTTGGACAAGACCCTTAGGAAACTCAAAAAACAAGGGAAAGGGATGCAGAAAAAGACCCACTCACAGAAGAGCTTTACAACACAGTCTAACACACGAAAAAAGATGACTGATAATAAGTCTGTTAATTCTTACGGGGTACCATCCCAAGATGGCATTCCAACGGGTCTTAAAATGACAGCAGTCACTGCAGAGAACTTTGAAATTAAACCTGCATTGCTCAGTATGGTCCAACAAAATCAGTTTAGTGACCATCCTACTGACGAGCCAATTAATCACTTGCAGCGATTTCAACAATTATGCTCCACTGTTCATCACAAAGGAGTCACTCAAGATCAATTCAGAGTGATGTTGTTCAGATTTTCCCTTCGCGATAGAGCTTAAAAATGGTTGAATACCGTCAAGGAGATGGAGTGGAACAAAATTTCTCAAGCATTCCACAAAGTGTATTTCCCTCCTGAAAAAACTGAAAAGATTCGACATCAAATATCAACATTTTCTCAAGAGTCGGGGGAATCTCTTAGGGAAGCATGGGATAGATTCTTAGATCTTCAACGATCATGCCCGCATCACAATTTAGAAAAGTGGAATCTTGTTTGTATTTTCTATAACGGACTAGAACCCGAGACTAAATGTATTATTGATTCTGCCGTAGGTGGTGTTTTCCTTGACAAGACAATAGAGGAAGGGTATGATTTTCTTACAAATCTTGCACCCAATCATTTCTCTTCTCCAAGAACGCGAGTAAAGAAAGGGAAGATGGAAGTTGAAGCCTATTCAATCTTGACTTCTCAGCTGACTCAATTAACTGCAAAGATTGATGCATTACAGGCCACTCAGGACTCCTCTCTTGTATTCGTTTATGTTATGTCTTCTAAACCTCTAAAAACTAATTTTTTTGTTAATTGTGTGGTATACAGGGTCACTTTGGATATCAATGTGCTCAAAATTCTCAAGATACCAATCAGATAGAGCAGGTGAATGCCTTTCAATAAAGGCAACCAAATGACCCATATTTTAACACATTCAATCTAGGTTGGAGGAATCATCCCTACTTATCATATAAAAGAAACAATGTTCAAAACCCTCAACCTCAGCAACAGTTGTCACAGCCTCAGAACCCCCAGCCTCAACAATATGCTGCTAGGCCTCCACTCAATCAACAAGGAGCCTCTCATCATGCTCCTTCAGGGTTTAATACACCACCTCAACAACCTACTCATGGAAATGCTAGAACTCAAGACCCGACTATGTTTGACCTTATAAGAATGATGACATCCATGATGCAAAACACTGAAGATAGCATCAAGGAGTTGAAAAATACGACAAAGAATTTGGAGAACCAAATCGCACAAGTCGTAGGTACCAATATCCAAAGACAACCTGGCCACTTACCAGGATAGCCTGTCCCTAAGGAGACCGCCAATGATATCACTACTCGTAGTGGTGTTAGCTATGAAGGGCCCAAATGCCTATTGATGATGCAAATCTTGAGAAAGAGAAGAGTGAGGTTTGAGAGAAGGCCTTGGATGATGTTCCCACCTCGAAGGATGGGAAGGCTAAAACAAGTGAGATTGAGAAAGAGAAAAAGAAAGGTTTCGAGCCTCCATCCGTTAAGCCAAAGCTATTATTCCCACATCGGATGCAAAAGAACAAGATAGATCGACAATTTGTTAAGTTTTTAACTATGGTCAAGAACCTTGAGGTAACTGTTCCTTTTACTGATTTGGTCTCTCAAGTTCCAATGTATGCAAAGTTTTTAAAGGAAATGATTAATATGAAGAAAGACTTTGGTGGTGTAAAAATAGTCGCTCTAACTGCAGAGTGTAGTGCTATATTGCAAAATAAATCCCCACCTAAGCTTAAGGACCCTGGTAGTTTTTCCATCTTATGTCATGTAGGTGCATTATTCATTTATAAAGCTTTATGTGACTTATGTGCTAGTGTGTCTGTTATGCCTCTTTTGGTTTGTAACAGGTTGAATATGGGAGGTTTAAAATGTACAAAGATCACTTTGCAAATGGCAGATCGTTCTATAAAATACCCTTTAGGTTTTTTGGAGGATGTCCCTGTTCGGGTTGGGAAATTTTTCATTCCTGTTGACTTTGTAGTTTTGGATATGGAGGAGGATAGTAATATCCCGATCATTTTAGGTAGACCTTTCTTGTGTACTGCAAGTGCTGTTATTGATGTCAAATTTGGGTCCATTACTTTGTCTGTTGGTGATGATACAGTGACTTTTAATCTAACCAATGCGATGAAGTTGTCTATGCTTGAGATTACTTGTTGCAGGATTGATGTGCTTGATGAGATTGTGAAAGATAATACGCTTCGTGAGTTAGCTATTGATCCTTTAGAAGCTGTTCTCACCCTGGAGATCTTTGACGAAGAAGGAGATGCAGAGATTGACTCCTTGATTCGTGACTTGGATGCCCTTAAAACTGAGGGGTTTGAGGTAATGGAAACTATTTGTTCTACTTCTGAGTCACAAGTAAAAAAGGTAGAGTTAAAACCTTTACCTTCTCATCTTTAATATGCATTTCTTGATGATAATGAGGAATTCCCTGTAAATGTTAGTGCTAAACTAGATGATAGCCAAGTTTCTAAGCTTTTGACTGTGCTTTGCATGCATAAAAAGGCAATCGGGTATAACATTAACAATCTTACAGGGATAAGTCCTAATTTTTGTATTCATAAAATCAATTTGGAAGAGAATCATCGCCCTTGCATCCAACCACAACATCGATTGAATCCTAATATGCAAGAGGTGGTGAGGAAAGAGGTAATGAAACTCCTTAAAGCGGGCCTCATCTACCCCATCTCAGATTCTAAGTAGGTTAGCCCGGTACAAGTCGTTCCTAAGAATGCGGGGACAACTGTTGTTAAAAATGATAAGAATGAACTAATTCCTACTCGTGTTGTCACAGGTTGGCGTATGTGTATCGATTATCGCAGGTTGAATATGGCCACCTTGGAAGATCACTTCCCCTTACCTTTTATATATCAAATGCTTGAAAGATTAGAAAAACATAGCTATTTCTATTATTTGGATGGATATTTAGGTTTATTTCAGATTGCCATTTATCCGGAAGATCAAGAGAAGACAATGTTTACATGCCTCTATGGTACATTTGCTTATCGCAAAATGCCATTTGGGTTGTGTAACGCCCCTGCGACGTTTCAAAGGTGTATGATGGCCATTTTCTCTAATTTCATTGAGAACATCATGGAGGTATTTATGGATGATTTTAGTGTTTATGGATCTGACTTTGATATATGCTTGTATAATCTTTCTAAGGTGCTTAAACGTTGTACTGACGTCAATTTTGTCTTGAATTGGGAAAAGTGCCACTTCATGGTCAATGAAGGAGTGGTAATTGGTCATCTTATTTCTGATCATGACATCCAAGTTGACAAAGCAAAAATTGAGGTGATTGAGAAACTTCCCCCTCCTGTGAATGTCAAGAAAGTGAGAAGTTTTCTTGCTCATGCAGGGTTTTATAGCCGATTTATAAAAGATTTTTCAAAAATAGCAAAACTCCTCACTCAATTATTGCTTAAAAATGCCACTTTCAATTTTACTGATGCTTGTATGGAGTCTTTTAACAGGATTAAGGAGGCATTGATAACTGCTCAAATCATACAACCTCCAAATTGGGATTTTCCATTTGAGATCATGTATGATGCGAGTGACTATGCTGTGGGAGCCGTGCTTGGACAACGAAAGCACAAGGTTTTTTATGCCATTTACTATGCTAGTAAAACCTTGGATGAGGCCCAGATGAATTATGCCACCACTGAGAAAGAGCTTCTAGCTATTGTTATGCTCTTGACAAGTTACAAACTTACCTCGTTGGTTCGAAAGTAATTGTCCACATTGACCACGCCGCTCTGAGGTATCTCCTAGCAAAGAAAGAGGCTAAACCGAGGCTCGTTTGATGGATTTTTCTCCTTTAAGAGTTTGATTTAGAGACTTGAGATAAAAGGGTGCCGAGAACGTTGTTGCGGATCACCTCTCTCGGTTGAGATTTTAGTCTACTTCAGATAGCTGTATAAATGACTCTTTCCCCAATGATCATTTATTCTCCGTTTCTTCTATATCTCCATGGTATGCTGACTATGCTAATTTTTGTGTAGGTGGTTCACATCCTCCCGATTTGACTTACCAACAACGCAAGAAGTTGTAGCATGATGCCAAGCGGTACTTTTGGGATGACCCTCATTTATATCGTAAGTGTGCTGTTGGAATGTTTTGGAGATGTGTAGCAGATTGGGATTCTCATAGTATCCTTCATCATTGACATAATCTACCTTCTAGTGGACATGTTGGCTCTACTGCAACTGCCTACCGAGTGCTTCAATGTGGTTTCTATTGGCCCTCATTATTCAAGGATGCTCGTGCCTTTTGCAATGCATGTGATGAGTGTCAAAGAATAGGAAATACATCGAAGAGTCAAGAGATGCCACAAAATGGGATTCTTGAGGTCGATCCTTTTGATGTTTGGGGAATTGATTTTATGGGACCATTTCCCTTTTCTTGTGGGAATCGGTACGTTTTGGTTGCCGTCAACTATGTCACCAAGTGGGTCAAAGCTATTGCGTCGCCTACTAATGATTCAAAGGTCGTTATGAATCTGTTCAAAAAGGTCATCTTTCCGCGCTTCGGAGTCCGAAGAGTTGTTATTAGTGACGGTGGTTCTTATTTCCATCAACGAACTTTTAAGTCTCTTCTTAAGAAACATGGAGTTACTCACAAGGTTGGCTTGGCCTATCATCCTCAAATGAGTGGCCAAATTGAGGTATCTAACCGACAAATCAAGAGAATCCTTGAAAAGGTAGTCAACAAATCCCTTAAAGATTGGTCATTGAACTTGGATGATACATTGTGGGCATTGCGAACGGCTTACAAGACTCTGTTAGGGACAACTCTGTATCGATTGGTTTATGGAAAAGCTTGTCATTTACCGGTCTAAATGGAATACCTTTCACAATGGGTCGTTAAGGAGATTAATTTAGATTTAGAGAAGGCCGGTAAAGCGAGACTTCTTCAATTAAACGAGCTAGATGAGATTCGTCTCGATGCTTACGAGAATCATAGGCTCTACAAGGAGCAAACGAAGAAGTTTCACGATAAGATGATCCAAAAAAGAGAGTTCAATAATGGTGACAAGGTATTGCTTTATAACTCAAGACTTCGACTCTTTCCTGGAAAGCGTAAGTCTAGATGGTCATGGCCTTTCACAGTCACCGATGTCAAAGCATACGGAGCCATAGAAGTTGCTAGTGAAAACGACACGAAATTCAAGGTAAATGGACAATGTTTCAACCTATATACCGAGGGTGCTTTCATCGGAAAATTGGAGACGATTTATCTCTCCGATACACCAATTGATGCTTGATACTAAGGTAAGAAGTCGAGCTTACCACTATAAATGAGCGCTTATCGGGAGGCAACCCGATTTCCTAATTCTTCTTTTATTTTGATTTGTTTTCTTTTTAGTTTCTCTTTCTTTTTATTTTTAATTTTTCTTTCTTTAATTTTTTTTTCATTTATTTATTTATTTATGCTATTCTTGTAGTTTTAATTTTTTTAGTGTTAGTTTCGTTTCTTTTTTTATTTTTGCTTTTGTTTTATTTCACTAACTCCATTAACATTGTTTGTTTTTTTTTATTTCTAGTGAAGGTATATATTTTATTTTATTTCATTCAAAAAAAAGGAGGAAGCAGCCAGCAGCAGGCACAAGCCCGCACAGCCAGCGGTAGGCCAGCGCCCGCTGGGCCGAGCAACCACAAGCAGCCCACCACACGGGCCGTTGGAATTCCAGCGCCCGCTGGTTCTGGCGCCCAAGAATCTTGCACGCATCCCCAAACAAAAAAAATGAAAAAAACGAAAAAAAAACAAAAAAAATGAAAACATTCCCAGGCAGCCTACACGAATCCCAAGAAAACCCCCCTCTCTCTCCACCATTCCGCCCCTCCGGCGCACCACCGGCGCCCCTCCAGCACATCTGCTCCAGCCCTCCGGCACACCTCCCAGCCATCGTACAAGCCCCTCCACGGAAAAAATAAATGAGAGAGAAAACCCTAATTATTTCAAAGTTGGGGCTTTTCGACTTTCTTTTTCAATTTGGTGAATTGGTTGGAATTGCAATAAAATTGATGCTTAATTTGAGGTGATCAACAACAAATGTGTCTAAATTGCACAAGAATAAGTACTATTTTCAATTTTTCATCCAACTTCTCTTCTTGAATTGTTCACATTATTATAAAAATTGGAAATTTTATTTGCCTCTCGTAAACTAATATTGGATTGTTGTTGAGTTTGTGGTGATTAATTGTGATTGAACATTGATATTTGGTTGGTGGTTGATTGAAATTGATTCTACTTTGGGTTTTGGAATTG